CCCCCCCCACCACCACCACCAAACACACTCCCTATATACAGTAATCTCCCCTTAACTCCCCAGGATACTGTCGTTGATTATTTTTCGTTTATTTTAGCTTTATTGTTTCTCATAAAAGTCCCACAACGATTTTATTTTCAGAGATCATTTATCAAATCTAAAGTCATGCCAGAAAGAACCATTTCCAATACAGTACTAAGTTAAAAATAAATAGCAGTAGTGCTGGGATCCTTAAATATACACACGTGTTTTTCTATATTACTCTATTCATATACCTAAACAGTTTAGCTTACAGTAAATGCAGTGGAGAATGGGCAGAATATTTTACACACTTTGTAATCAACAATTTTTGTGGGATTTTTAATTTCATCGATTTTCTTCATTCATGAATTCAAAGGTCCCCGAAGTTATTACAAGTTTGATACATAGCAATTCTTTGGTTGAGTTGGTACTCGTAATCTACGAAATCGTGTTTTGTGTGGAGACCACGAAATTCGGGCCTCACGAACAGTACACATTGTATAATGGTGCAGCACCTTATATAAATTTGGTTAACATTTATTATATTCCTTTTGGTTAAAGTTTACATACAATGTACATGTAATAATTGTGTCAATTTTTCAAAGATTGGCCTTTTGTCTGGTAATACATTTGTATGCATCTAGATCTAAACACTAAATAAATCGGACAAGTTAACTAGTGAAAATTATTCTATATTCCCATTGGTTGAATCATAATAACGTGTAGGTCCGTTATATGTTATATTATCTCGGTGTTTATACATGTATTTGTAGACACATCAGTGGCCATTATTCACATATGACGTCACTTCAATTTTAACGTTACAATGTGCTCGCTTTCATATTTCATACAGGCACATATTTCTTGTCTGTCACAGTAAATATCACTTTCTCATGTCCATATGGCCCAATATTCATATCGATAAAAGTCCATAACTGATAAACAACATTCTTGTCTTACAAGATATAAATGCCCTCGGATGTAAGAAATGCGATAGACAATAATTGTACCAGTATCATTGTGTTTATTCTGCGTTAGTATAAAACGTTTTTATTTTACTTTTGAAGTTTTATTTTCATTTGTTATAGCATGTTTTAAGTTACTATGGTTACAGCCAGTCAATGCATACAATGCGCGTGCATCACATACGTACATATTAATATACAATGTAGGCAAGCACGTTCATGCATATTTTCGTCACGTGTATCTAATAAAAACAAACTGATTATTAAATATTTTCTACCGATTTATACCGTAATTATCCGTTTATACAAAATTGGGATTAATTAATTATGAACAAAAAGACCATAGTTTTGACAAATATGAAATGAACAGAGATATTCCTAAACACGTATAACATAGTATGACATTTAAGCAAAGAAAATGGCTTAATATCTTGACATCCGACCCGGAACTCATTTCGTGCTATTAGAAATCGATCATAAAGGTCATTTTTATCATAAAAAGCGATAATTAAAATCATTAAAATTTCTTTTGTACGGTTAGAGCTGCTATTATTCCATTTATTCATTATAAAAAAGAAATTATCCCATTACCTCTCTTAAACCATATAATTAAACCCTCTACCGATGTCAGTGAAAACAAACATCGGACACTTTATCTCGTGGCTTCCCATTGACCCCTCATCAGTAGATTGTAATTAGCAAGTGTGAAATTAAACGGATTCCTGTGGGACGCTTCGGATGTTTACGATGTGGGTCAATAAAAAATCCCGAGGGACAGGGAATGGACATGAAAGTTGCAGCTGCAGACACCAGCATTTGGAGAAAATGGATTCTACGCGCTTGGCTGGTTTAGGGCAGAAGTCATTATCTATAAATATCTCGCTGAATTAAATCTCCCCTATGGTCGTTTAATAGAACAAAATACCGCGAGTGGTTTGTCGCTGGGCCGAGAAATTGGTCCCGAAGCTGAATAAAATACACGGTCACATATAAGTACGGTAATTCTGGTATGGTCTTTTGTGTGTGACATAGTTCAGCATACATGTACAGACGTACACATACACACATTAACGTTTCAACCGACAAAGGCAGAGATTTTGTTTTCGATTTTAATATCACCTTTTCACCAAAAAAAGCAAACATTTTACGATTTTAATATCACTGAAATAGATTTAAGTTAAATAATTTCTAATGGGTTACTTTTGGTCGAACGCGGGCTAGTGTGTGATACTGATGGGAATTAAAATAGCTGAAATGCCTTCGGCATCTAAAAAACAAATTAAAGCTGATGATAACATAAATGTTTACATGCATGATAACAGACATTGCGTTGTGAATTTGTATAAATAATGAATAATAACATATACCGTAAATATGTATGACTCGATGCTTTATTTTCCTTAGTTATTGTGTTGAATATTGCTACTGGTAGTTTTAAAAATAGATATCGGCTTAGGCAAGAGATAAAATGAAAATTGGATTTTTCAAAGAAAAACTAAAAAGAAAATGCAGATAATTAAATAACATTTTACCATGTATATGTAATAACAAAGGAGTTATTTACTGTGGGTTGTCTTTGGCGTAATTTTTTGTTTTAATTTCATTAATTTTATTTACAGTGTACTGATTGGAGTTCCAGATGCAATATGGAAGGCCTTTATTATCGGAAATTAATTTCCGCTATCTAAATCTCAATTTATGTACGCAAAAGCGATAACAGTTCTCGTCTAAAACAATGCGCATATATTTTAATTTAAGATCACATGTTAGTTCTTTCACTTTTCGGATTAGTACAATGAGATCTTAAATATGATTTCAAAATATAAAATGCGTTGATATCATAAATTCTGTAATTATCAATGTTTGTTTAAAATTACGGTAACCATATTCCCTGAAAAGCAATAATTTGATTTAAATAATCAGAATTAATACATTTAATCTTAAATAAATCCGTAGTGAATGCGCCTAGTATTACCAAATAGTCCAGAGTCACGAGCAATTACTTAAAATCGGCATTATCTTAAAAATATAATCAGAGTCACGAAAAGATAACTAATATCATCATTATCATCTTATAATAATTATGACTATAGGAATACTGGAAGAGCCGTGAATTAAAAACGAGATTAAAAAGAAGTTAATTATTATCTATTTGTATTTAAAGCTTATCATCTTCGTCTAATTAAAGCGTTCACGGATTTTATCCGTGTGATGAGTTTATGTTCCATTCATGAAAACAATTGAAAGAATATATGAAATTGCTGCATACATTTAGAATTCTATTTATGCCTCACCTTAATTTTATGGAACATTTCATGTCCCATTTTCCGTTAAGAGTTTTCCGAGATTCATCATTAATTAAAAGGGTGTTTGGATCAAACTCATTTAGATTTGACACAGCATTTTAACGATATAAACGTATCATGGTCCCAAATACATGTACAATTTTAAAAGTCAAATATTTTCGTGAAAGTTGTTTTTTTAATTCGATTTTTATAAATGAATAAACGGATTATCAAAAATTGTTTAAAAGATTGAGATATTATAATTTCGATTTTTTCCTTCTGAGAATTCATAAAAGTGCACTATTTTATTTTTATTTTTTTTATGAACTGTTCATGACTTGATCAAGGCTATAGAAAAATCTCCCTGTGACAAGTAAAATTAAATTCAAAACTGATGAAATTGAAAGTAAGACTTAATGTATAGATGTATAAGAAACTAAGTTTCGGACATACTTACCGTGCGAGTCCGGGACGCGCTGAGACAAAAGGTACACACCGGTTTCGGTATATTGTCCAGTCCTCCGCGCAACATAGCCTGATGTTTCACACACGGCTGGTCAATACACTCCGACCCCACCATCAATACAGTGTTCAGGTGAGCTATGTAACTCGTTGCTAATCTCAAAGTTTCTATTTTGGACAACTTCCGGTCAGCTGGCTCAGTCGGGATCAAAGTCCGAAGCGTCACGAAAGCCGTGTTGACGCTATGGGTTCGATCCCGCTCTCGTGCATTGGCCGCCAGCCTTTGTCTCGGTTGGGATTCGAATACAAAATCAGTTTGATTTAAATCCAACTCCCCGTCCTCCGAATTTCCGATCCGGCACTTTTTATTGGTAGATTTTTTGTTCCCTTTTCTGGTTGCAATGCACTCCTCTGCCGAGCTGATGCTGTCGCTACCGTCGGAATAATGGATGCTGTCCTCGTTTTCGCTTTTTTGCTTATTGCTACTACAATACTGGTTGGATAATTTCATAGCCTTTCTCATTTATAAAACTCCTGTTGTGCTCTCTCTAAACACAATGTCATGAAATTTACGATTTTCGAATATGGTAAAGAAATTGAGGAAAACTTCTGAAATCAACGTACGTCCCTCGTAAAACGGCTTGTGTAAAGATCGCTAAATCACCATTCCATCTGTCCACCTCCTATGCTTGAGTACAACAGGTTAGTCTTCTGTGTGTCAGAAGCTGAACCTGGAAGCGATTTCCCCCCTTCCTGAACCCTCCCACTCTACAACTGTAGCAGACAGGGTTTATAATCTACGCCGCAATTGCGATTGTACGTTAACAATGCACCCAACAGTCACTTCCGAACAATGCAAAATTTACAACCAGTTACTGTAACTATTTCCCGACAACATCACTGCCACTTGTACATTTGACATTACATTTTCGCGAAGCCCCTTTGATAATTGTGTGTAATGAATCTGACGGCTCGAACATGCTCTGGTAACGCAGTGATGGAGATTCAGCGATGAAAGGGGGCGTGGCCGCCAGGGTAATTTGTCATTGGGCTGTCAAATTTGTCTGCTTCCTCATGCCCCTGTATGTTTACATCCACCATCAAGCGTCAAAGCGATATGGACAATTTACTGTTTCACTTGTTTTTCTTACGGAAATAACCATCTTCAGTTAGAAACTGTATACTTTATCAACCGGTGTACAGCGGGGTATAAAGAGACTGGGAATATTACATCATGTGTCTAAATGGGAATTTACCCATAGAGTTGTTCCATGGAATTGGTCAACATATCAGAAATGATTTACATTAGAGATATGAAATAGTCAAGAGTGTTTCATTTAAAAAAAAAGATATGATATTCACGTTATGAGTAACAGAAGGAAAGGAGTTATGTCGTGTTTCCACTAAGGTTTTACGTTGCATTGCAAAGTATGAATGTCGTCGGCCTTTGCACCAATATGTCTAATTGGGATTAATTCTCCAGAGTTGTTCCGTAGAATTTATGAAAATTTCAGCAATGATTTACATAAGAAATATGAAGACTGTTTCTTTAAAAATAAAAATAAATAATGATCTGATATTTTCGATACGAGTACATTTTGTCGCAGATGAAAAAGACGCTGCGCTGTTTTAACACTTCTTATTTTCAGTTACATGGCATAGTACGAATTTCCGTCTTTGAACTAATGGGGTATTCGCGTATTGGCATCGAACGGAAGCAATGGGGCAAATATGTTTTCTGTAATCTAATGCGAACTTCTGTTTAAAAGCTTACGAGATTTATTTTTGTCGTTTCTCCACTGGTTAATAACATGTATTGATGTTTTTATTTAGTTGAAACCTTATTAAGTTAAAACTTAATTTTATTATATCTTGCAGTAATACGAATAGTATACATAACACATGGATTCGAAAACAAGTACAGGGTACTTGTATAAATTCGTCTCCTTACATTTATTGAGCAGTGATAGGACGGCATAGACTGTTGGTACATTAGTATCCTGAGGAAATAAAGGGGAGGGATGCAAGAGGATTAGGAAAATGAATGAACAAAATACGAATTTGTAACTCTAATGGTTCGGTCCAAACCTCATAAACACTTCGCTAGTTAGCGAGATACTGTACGGTTATTAATTCTCGCGATGGTTCTAGATTCGCGGTAGATTGGAAATGCTTAGTCACTTGCAGTAATGTTGTTAATCATATGAAGCGTTATGTACATGCTGTGTGTTGTTCTTTTGTTATTATTATTCACCGTAAAACCGAATAAAATACATTTTATAGCTCCACTAAAATAGTCCATTTTATTATACATAATTGTAGATAGGTGATGAAACGTCATGCACACGAGAAGTTCACACCAAAGCAAACTACATTATAAGCCCATCATGAAATAACATTGAAAACTCTGAAAGAAATACACTTTAAGTATGAGTCGAACATATTTTTCATACCTATTTTCAACTATATTCAGTTACCTTATAATTTAAAAGAAAAAGAAACACTGACAAAAAGGATCATTTAGTTGTGAAAACTCAAGATGGCATTGTCAGTTCTCTTTGTGTTTTTATACCCTGTGTTAAACATAAAGGTTTATATGCATGTTCGATGGGACGCTGTACATGACTTCTAACATAAGGTTAAGAAGGTTTTAAATATGGATTGAGCGGCGTTTGAACATCGAAAAAACGCCGTTCAATACATATAATCACATTCTATCTCTCAGTTATTACTGACCTAAAAAAAGATAGTCCTTTCTATTTTTGATTTAGAAGTGTCTGTATCGTTAGTGCAAACGATATTCCTAGAACTGTCTAACGTCACAAAAATGTTTGCTTTTAACGGTTGTCTAATGTTATTTGAGGCGTCATGGGAACCTTTAAAATGACACTGAGCAAATTTCGTAAATAGCTCTATGCACGCAATTGCTTCTGGTAATGCTTGTAGAGAAAAAAAGCAGTGGAAATGTTAATATACAGGTATAACGTGAAGACGTGATGGCGTAATACAAGGCAGGCATGGCAATGTGGGTTCATGACCTGTTTAGTTTTATCTTCTTTTTGCCTTGCGATCGAGAAATATATCCTGCCAATGGTTGATTTTATGTACCTTCACGGATTAACTACCGTATCCGCGTTATAGTTTTAAACTCCTTCACGGTATATGAAGCCTTCTCTGCAATATTGATCTTCTCATAGAGCAAAACATGTTTAGTTAAACAAAAGAAAAAAATACCAATTGCAAATTGTATGCGAAAAAAGGCGAATTTCCCAGTAACATGTTTGTTGTTACCAGCTGTGCATTCGTCTTTTGCACGTGGTTTTATATTTACGTCTCGTGACTTTATTGTTACTCCATTACATATAGAAAATTACGACATTGTACTGTGTACCTTAGACTATCCGTAGTATTTGTAGTGTGACAAAGTTCCTCAAAGGACCCGGAATTAGATATGCTCTTGATATTTCGAGGATATTATTTACAAAGTAAAGTACACAAGACATTTATACTCAACACTACAGAACAAAACTAAAAAAAAATGTAATATTTAAGTACAAATCCTACACCTTTAAACTGAAATCCTGGACTGGCGACCAACGAGATTGTTATTATCCAACGTTCAAGGTGAAATATGTTATTGGGTGATCAGATGGCGCAGTGGATAGCGCACTCAACTGCCAAATAGTCGACCAGGGTTTGATTCCCCGATTGGACGTAAAAAGGTATAGGGTCACCTACCAGACCACGTGGGTGTTCCTCCGGTAGCAGATAAAGAAAAGATATACCAATTTATATTTAATATATCTGTCAAAGAGTGCAGAACCTTCAAACCCCGTGTGCACGTGTCGGGTCAGCGATGCCGTCTATATATGGTGTTGGGATTATATCTCGGGCAGTATTCGGTCTTTTCGTATTGCAGAGTTATCTTCTCTTGTGAACAGGTGTTGATTGTTACGTCATTGGTTTGTGTGAGAAAATTACGTCGTTTTCTCAAAAATTGATGAGGTTAATCCCACAAATAAATGTCGTAACAATCAATACCTGCTCACAAGAGCAGATAACTCTGCAATACGAAAAGACGGAATAGCATCGCATTATTAAAACCTCATTTTGAGGGGGAGAATCCATTCCTACAGAAAATTCCTAGGTGGTCAAACTAAGTAAAATAAGAGTTGGATCACTTTAATGCTGAACACAGTTTATAAAAATTATATTTGGAAATAACTTTTATTAGAATTATTTCCACATAAATTTACGTCAAACAACATTGCAAATACTTTGGAAACAAGCGTGCGAGTGACTACGATAGTTGGAGAGCTGTTCCGTTCGACGTAATTTTATTAGCGTTATGAACAATAGCTTTATGTTAGAATTTATATTTGTGTATACGTATATGTTCTGCAATTTTTGTTATGCTAGCCGAAGAGATTAATGTCTTATTTTAAATAATAGTTTTATTTCTCTTTTGTTCTAATGTTATATACAGTAACTGTTCTTTAGGTTTTTTTTTCTGTTTCTCGATTTGTAATTGTAATTAAATTGATAGTCATAGCAACAGCTAGAGAATACGGAAGTGAAAACAATACCATAACTCGAAATCAAAATCGATAACACTAGGTCAAATTATTTACAAATTAAACCTTTACACAGAGAGCGTTGTAAAATAAACAAGGATAATAATACCAGGAAATCCGGAAGGGTTAGTATCATCTGCTTTATCGATGACACCCGCCATGTAAATCTAGGTCGAGATCAAATACTGTCACGTCCTCACATCGAGAACGCGGATATTGACACAAGACACTCACATGAGCATAATGAAAATAAATCGACATTCATATCACACAGAGACATTATTAATTCGCCCTGAAGAAATTCAAGCCTTCATATTGAACTGTTAATTTGTTATTGCGACTTAGAACAAACAGTAAATGGATGATGTGTTATTGTATAACAATTTATAATAGCTGCAAAAATTTTTGTTAGTATGAATTATATGCTATTCTATTCATATTTTAGCTTCACATATTTTGTTGCTTCTAAATTCAAGCAAGAGGATTGGGCACAAGTTATGACAAATTATAAAAGTCCTCTCCTCAACAATTGTACTACAACAATGTGATAGCGACAATAGACAAACACATGTATGTACATTTTTTATACATAAAACGAATTTGGAAATCAGAAAAAGGAAAGAAGAAACAGGTTGAAAGTGCAGGGAAATCACAAGGATATCATAAAGCATATCTTATCATGTACAACAATATAATGTATAGTAATGTATGATATGTCTGCCTGGCACATACTACAATGTATCTACACACTCCGGCAACTTCCTTTGTCCAAATTGTCCATGGAAATGCTCATTCCTAATAATCGTGCTTTGTTGTACATTCAAGCTCTGTCTAGGTATCGTTTCATTGTGCCAGGCAGAAAAGAAATAAACGTGTTTTTTTTCGTATAGTCCATATTACAAAAATCACTTATGGCATAGTGGTTCAGAAAAGATAGTGATAGCGTTCGGTAGGTTAAATAGAAAGACAAGGATGAAAGGAAAGACTTTAGGATAAGTTCACCTGTTCTTCAAGACAAGACTATTCAAATCTTACAACATAAGCTGTAACAGTAATAGAATAATGTGTTGATTAGAAATATTATTGTAATAAAAAAATATGTTGTTTATAATTATAATAGTAACGTAATAATGTGATGTTTAGAATTATAAAAGTAATGGAATAATGTGTTGTCTAGAATTATAACAGTAATGTAATAATGTGTTGTTTAGAATTATAATAGTAATGTAGTAATATGTTATTATAAATTATCATAGTTATGGGAAAATGTGTTGTTTAGAATATGAATTATAATAGAAATGGAATAATGTGTTGTTTAGAATTATAATAGTAATGTAATAATGTGTTGGTAAGAATTATAAGAGTAATGTAATAATGTGATGTTTAGAATTATAATAGAAATGGAATAATGTGT